GATTAATATTCATAAAAGGTCCTCAATTGTCATTTTCCTATTACAAAATTGGCTTTGAACTTAATTAATTGAGTTAAAATGGAGTCTAAGAAGTTATAGGAGATTAATAACTATAGATTGCTTTCTCAAATGATTATTAGATTTAAGCATTTCATTGCATTTTTATTAAATTTAATTTTAATTTTGATTAATCAATCAATTTCAATGAGCTTTGCTTGACATAAACAAAAATGAAAACTTTATTCCATAACTATTATTTTGCTTGATTTCTCGTGAGATCGACCTTAAAAGATTATTATATTGCATATTGATTCTAACACTTGATACATTTTTGTGTGCATCACATGAACCAAAGAAGTTGTGGATGGGTGTTGTTTACTTGGGGAAAATAGCCAATGCCTCGATAAAAGCTCTTATATTAAGGATCATGGGAGAGTTGCTTGTAATAAGAACTTGAGGAAGCAGTTGCCAACTCCAAGTGAATTTCACAACTCGTAAAAGACATTTATCTTGCTCACATAAAATAATATGTTCATAATCTAATTTCCCCACCTTTCTTTCTTGTCTACTCATTCCTCTGGAAATATCTCTTCAAAGCATACCAAACTCTTTTTTTTTCTTTTATTTTTTTGGGGTGCAATTTACCTAACTTTTTTTTTTTAAATACATTAGAAGGGGACAGATACAGGGTCAAAAGAAACAAGTGTCCGGCAGCACATAAATTTTGTTCTTTGCAACTTCTCAAATTCCTATTTAAACATATAAACTCACGAATCCACTTTTAAGGAAAAAATGGGTGAGAAGATATACATACCATTTGAGTTAGGAATGTAGAAATTCTGATCCAACGATATATAACTAGCAAATTGTTTATTCTTGCAGCTCTATGGTAATGATTTAAGCCAACTGCATTTTGGGTGTTTGAAAATACACATTTTACAGGGAAGTAATCATTTGTTAAATGTCAAGTGCTTGGGTGTATTAATCGTGAACAACTGAAATTTAAAAAAGAATTACTTGTTGAGGTAAAAGTAAAACAACTCAAAAGCGAAAGGGGAAAAAAGGGTAGAAAGATGGAGCTAAAGAAAAAAAGGATTGTCTGCCCATAACATCGCACATGAAAGCTATTTTGTACCTAGCAATTTGGCTTTTTCCTAATTCAATGCTGAAATAGTCACATGTGGCTCTCTGTACTTCGCTTTGTGCTAGTAACTACTACGCAATCCATGTGATGTGAGACAGAGTACCCCATTTAAAACCTTAATATTAGAAGCCATTTTTAGGGGAGATTCATTGGGAGTGAATGCCAAAAAAGAAAAAGGAAAACAGAAAAAGTGCCAGATTTTTTTTTTTTAAGAAAAAAGCATTGGATGCACAATTTTCCCTTCCCCCCTCCAATTTGCCAATAATCAATCCCATGAGCTTAATCAATGTTGATTAAGGTATACAAACATTAAAGTTTAGTGCACGAAAAAAATGTTTTCCAAAAAGAAAATTGAGAATATATGTATCAAGAAAGAAAATGGAATAAACACTTTTTTACTTACCACAAGCGATGCTGATTAGGGTGCATTACATTACTAAGGTAAACAAACACCAACCCATACACAATCCTCTTTTCCCCCCTTTCACGATTTGCCAGTAATCACTCCCCTAAGTAAGGAACCAACTAGTAATGCGGATTAGGAGTTAAGTTATCTTGTTGAATCCTCTTAATTATGTTATTATGTGGTGAATCTCAGGGGAAAAAGTGAAGTACATTGAATAAAATCCATGCATTGATATTTAATTATTCATTGTGGAGGTTCAATGTATTCAATTCTTGCACATCCCTCTCCACCAAAGGTGGTTAAGGCAGAATGCATTTTTTGCGCATAACAATTAAATCAGTTTTGTTTTGAAGTAAGGCTTGGTTAATGACTTAATGTAACAGTAAAGACAGCTACATTACTTTATTTTATTTTATTTAAAAAAGAATACATGTTGAACTGAGAGTTGACTTCGATGCTATAAAAATATGCAGGGAAACTTTTCAAAAATATAATCGATTTCGAAGTAGTTATATGATATTTTCAGAACAAAAATAATATCGAGTATAAATTATACAAATACTTAAAAACATAATGTAACTTTTTTTTTTTGGATAAAAACTCACTCTAGTTATTAATTGGAAAGAATGTTAATACAGTATAAGTGAGTTTTTTTTTTTGCATGTACAGTATAATTGAGTTAGAAATATTTAACTACAGGTCAACAAAAGTTAAAAATATTTAATTGCTTAGTTAACTCCGATTATCTATGGTTAAAAAAAAAAAGTACCTCCAATTATCTATAGGCCAATGCAAGGCCTGAAGCAATTGAAGTCTGCACGCTCCAAAGTGTGCAGCCATAGGACTCAGGAGAGTCCCCTGGCTTCCCCCATCCCCCCCCCCCCCAACAAAACCAAAAAAAAAAAAAAATCACTTCGCTTATATAATAATGATTGGATAATATTTTTAAAATGAAATAAAATATCATATTTTCTCTCCCTTGTATCATTTAATTTTTTAATTTGAACTCTGTTCAGCTTCAATATTATGCGCAATGCACAATGGTCATAATAAATAAAAATATCATAGCGTGTCTTGAAAAAGAATACCAAATGTAAGTCAGATATATTTAAAACCAAAAAAAACAAAAAAAAAAAACAAGAAGGTAAGTTTATCCTAACTTTCCAAGTGCTAACTGTAGAGAATTTTAATTAATACACTATAAATGCATTAAAGAAGTTTTGTTTTTTCAATTAATTAATTAAAATCGTACCTCCAATTATGTGGAAGCTAATGGAACGTTCTAGTGTCGGCCTAACCCAAAGTCCTTAACGCTCCAAGTGTGCAACCATTATGAACCTCAGATTCACTGAGAAGCACCTCCTGGTCCATAAGAGAGCCACGCCTCTTGCTTTTTCCATGTGTGGACAAGCTCATCCACGTGAACCAATGACCTTTAGGACCCCGATACCTTATGACGTGGAACCAAAATATCCACCACCCTACTTGCACCCTCTTTTCTATATAAGCACACTCACTTCATCTAGCATTTGCAGATTGATCAAACGGAGCTCCTATACCAGAGATAAAGTAAATCGTTCCAACCCAGAAAATTTTCTCTCTTTCCAATTAGATATGTCTGCCTCGTATGCCATTCAATCTCTCTTGGCGAGCCCTGTTTCTCGCCTTTCTAACAGGTCCAGGGTGAACCAGCTCGGCCTTCCCGCAACATACATACCAACCTTGCGCAGGAATGTTAGCCTTAGAGTTCGATCAATGGCTGAGGTATTGGTTTGCTCCCACTCTCACCTCCTGATAATCATGAATATACTTATGTGTTACAAGATATTCAACACAAACAGCGATAACATAGTCTTGATAATATTCTAACTAATGATCTAAGTAGAATTGTCTCGTAAACGTGGGAATTGTGGTACTTACTCTTTCATGTCATTGCTACTTATTTTCAGGAAGAAATGAAAGAGAAGGCACCTCAGACAACCTCTTCTCCGTCACCCAAGAAGGTGAGCTCTAGGTGAAACAGTTTTCTCCTTAAGTATCTGCGAATGAGTATAGTTTCCCTTTCATCCTGAAGAATGTAGTTTCAGATTCCTGAGAATTTTTTTCCCCGACACTACGTAACTAATAATACACGTAATATAAATCTTAACAATAATCAAATAATCCGAATTGAAAAATTTCGGCCAGTTGAAACGATAATTTGCTCACTCTGCTTCGAATAATACATGTTTTGGTTCCAAATATGCTAGAATTTTTTTTTTTTGTATAATTATGTATATAAAACGACAAATTCATGATATACTGGCAGAGATTGTAACACGAGACAAAAGCTTCGCCCATGCGGTCCTATCTAAAGCTGTAAAAACCCGATTAGTTTAAACGAAATATAAATCCTGATCATAATTTTCCACCTCCTATATTTCTGTCAGTGATTTTTTGCAATATAAGATCTGACCTTGCTAGATGATATAAACTGATCACCGTAAATAGAAGCAGGTGAGCACGAAATTCTCGGACGTGTTAGCCTTCAGCGGACCAGCACCGGAGAGGATCAACGGGAGATTGGCGATGATAGGGTTTGTGGCGGCAATGGCGGTGGAAGTAGCGAAAGGGCAAGACGTATTCGCTCAGATCGCCGACGGAGGCATTCCGTGGTTCTTGGGGACAAGCGTCGTGCTATCTCTCGCATCGCTGATTCCATTGTTCAAAGGAGTGAGCGTGGAATCGAAATCTCAATCATTCATGTCTTCCGATGCAGAGCTCTGGAATGGAAGATTCGCGATGCTTGGACTAATTGCACTAGCTTTCACTGAATATGTCAAAGGAGGGAGCCTTGTGTGATTTTACTTGCATTTACTTGAAATTATCATATTAGTTATCAATTAAATTTTAGGAATATGAAAACTTTCTGAAGCCATGTTTGTTTGACTATCTGCTCAACAAAAAGGAATGGAAAAAAAAAAAAAAGTTGCTGTTTGTAAATTGTAATTACTATTACCAGTACACTAAGTCACTGGATTTATTACTCTTCTACTAAATACGTGTCCGTGTTGAAGCCAAGCTAATTCCTTCATTATTCCATGAAAATAGAAGGTAGGAAAATCTTTTTAGCCGAAAAATGATGACAATAAAAGTTAAAATTTTTTAATGCAATAATCTCGTAGGTTGCCGAAAAAGAAAAAAGAAAAATGCGACTAAACGAATATTTAAATAACATTATTGTTCTCAACGTTTAACAAAAAGATATTATACTAGTAATTTAGTTAGAAAAGCTAGTAATTAGTAAACTCAATTGAACCTAGCGAATACATTTTCAAATAAATTTAAATTGCAACATCAATCTAATCTCATCTTTGCGGACAAATTAAATTATAACGATGATAATAAATTATTTAAAAATATAATATTAACATTTTCAATGAGCGCAAAAACTTGTGTTGAAAACCTCATCAATCAATTTATCAAAGGAAAATGGGCCGTTATCAAAGAACTAGAACCATTGATAAAAATATTGACGGTGCATTTTGATACTTTAAATATATTTTTTATTGAAGAAACATAAATTTTAATGTTACATGTGAAATTTTTATGCACACACACATACACGCTAGTGTACGCTTTTGTCATGTCCCAATTTCAACCTCTCTAGCGTGACATTTTTTTTCAAAAAAAAAAAAGAGACAACATTTCATATCACTTCTTTATAATAACGCCTTCCTTTTTCTCTCTCTCTTTTCTTTATTTTATTTTAGCCTTCTTTTTTAATTTTTTATGAAAAAGACTTAGCCCTCTTTTATGAGTTTATATGATTATGAAGCACAAGATGGACGCATCAAAAAAATGAGAAAACTTATATTATTTAATTTCATACTTATGATACTTGTTTATAATTAAATTAAAATATATAAATATTTTATAAATTATTTATTCTATAACAAACTTTTGTTATTAATATTATTAATACATTAAATTTCATAAATCTTGATTTGATTATATATAAATATATTGAATATGACTAAATACATAAATTTTGCCTGAAAAAACAGAAAGTGTGCCCAAAAAAAAAAAACAATATGTGCCACTTCAAATAGACAAATACGACACCAAGATATGCATCACCATCACTTATTTATTACACGTATACCTCGTTTTCTTTTTCATAATAATGAAATGAACCTCTACACTCACAAATTTATGAACAGAAAAGAATAAGAACATCATCAGCACGTATATCTCGATTTCCCAACTACTTGTTATGTACAGATAGAGATATTCGCCAACAAAACTAACTCATGATATTATTATGGCGAACTGGCTATGGATCAACCTGATACGCTGGCCTCTCAAGATCCCCGTTTGGAAGTGTGCTTGCCTCCACTCCATCCGCATGTTCCTGAAACAAGTCGATTTTCCCATTACAACTCAATCATCAAATCTGGCTATTAACTCAAGTCAATCATTCACACCTAATATGGGATCAACCGAATTTGAATGTCTACTATAGCTTAAAAGGATAAAAAATTAAGAATAGAATAAAATAAAGAAATTAAAAAAAAAAAAAAAGACAACTGAATTGCTTTTTCACCTCATGGTAAGCTTGATAAAATCTAATAACACATACCATAAATGTAAGAATCACATCTTCCACAAATCTTATAAATGATGACTCTCAACCTCGTGAATTAAATTACTCTTCTCCCTAATGAACATGATTCACTTTTCTCTCATCCACATCTTGATTATTCTATTTTTATTTTTATTACTTTAATCCATTTCATTCTCTTCCTTTCTAGTAACCAAATAGACCCCACATTTTTCCACACTACATCTCTACATCAAGTCTAAATGCTGCATCTATAAGTAGATGTTGCATGTTGTAAAATATAAAACAGATCTGAGCTGTTGAAGAATTTAAATCATCCCTCTCCATCTGATTCACAAAATCTATTTGATTATCACGCTGTTGGATGTGTTACATTAGACAAATATCACCACAAAATGCATTGAACTTTCCAATTCGGCAGACAAACTAAGAGCACATTGGACCATGACCAACAGAAATATTGAATTCAATGCAGGGGAAGAAAAATAGAGTGAGGAGTGAAAACCAATTAAGTGGATCCCATCTATTCTATGTATTTGAAAAGACAAAAATGGTATACAAGTGTGCATAGAGTCCACTTATTCTCTTTCTACCCATCCTTATTTTGTTCCTCAATTTCCCTTTAATTGCACGGAACTTCCACTAAGTTCCCACCTATATATCGCACAGAATGCTGAGATAATATTTCAATAACCAAATCAAATGCCAAAACCATGTAAACATTGTAAAGAAACAAGCCATTCATTTGCTAAATGAGTAGCATAAGAACTGCATGTGATATGTGTATCTAACAGAAATTTGGATACGTACTTCCGCAGGAAGATCAACTGGGAACAAATTTATTGCTGCTGCGTTGAATGTGAATCCGCTGAAGACATAATTAATCGCTCGCATCAGTTACATGTGCATAAATTGAGGGAAAAAGTAGGTAGGAGGGAAATGGAAAAAGCTTATAATCACTAATCAGCAACAGAATCTCTTTGTGAGTAACTAAATCCCTCAATGGAGGATATGTGAACCCTTCATGAAGATTATCCAAGTCTGGTACTATAATAACCAACACATTGAACTTAGATGCAGAATAGAAAAAAGTTAGGTTCCTACGCAAGTGTGTATATATTAGACAAGTTTCAAACTGCAAGAGAAGTAAATAAATTCAACATGTCATGAGAACATGTGGATAAGAAGTGGAAGAAATCATACCATCGGGATAAGACTAGCTGCCAGACATAAGGAGTAAAAAATTCCTCTGGATGACTCTCTTGTTCATATGTGAAGCGCAGTTGAGTAAACATCTGCTAAAAACATATAAGCTACGCTTCATGTAAACCACAAAAGTAATGCTCGTCGAGATAATTCACTTCACAAGTAAGCAACAAATTAGATATTTTTTCTTTCTCATTTTACCTTCATCCCTTCACCACGCCAAGATCGACAATTGACAATTATCACCTGAAGCACTTCATTGACTGACCAGTCACCATCCCCTCTTTGAGCATCCATACGACTATTGAAGAAATCTAACACCTGCAATCATCATGTTGATTACATTGTTCAAACATTGGAACCATGATGTATTATGCAAAGATGAGTTTCGCAAATGCAACAGGAGAAAAGTGAATCTTTCTCCAGTAAAGAGTTTAAAGCTTTTCAAAAGGACGTATGTATGATGAAGATTTAATAAAACATATGAAACATACAGTATAAATGTTGTCAAGCAACTCATTGAAGCGTGGATGATTCTTAAATGGCAGAAAAACTTCTTGCCTGTGCATTATTGCATATACTACCTGCCCCATACAGATATGAAATAAGTATCTACAGGTAAATATTGTAGACTAAAGGAACCAAATCAAAATAGATGGCATAGAATCTACAATCAATCAAATCATACCTCAGGATTCCTAGGCAGAGCATAACTCAATATAGCATTTATGATTTCAAGTACAAGCCTCAAGAAGTCAGTGTAAATTTGCAATTCAGTTGACTGCATTGAAAGACAATACGATTTACCGAAAGGAATATAAAGTGAAAATAACAACCACAAAAAGCAAAGAACAAAGCATATACCATATCTTCCATGAGGCCGTTTCCTTCAACTGAGTTGCCATTTCCAGTATGAAGTTTATTATGTCTGAGATCTGCTAATTTGTTATACCTAATGAGAAGCAATGATATGATCACAGTTAGGCCAGAAAAAATAGAAGCTACTCTTGAATATATAAATATAAATATGGAGATAGTACAGTATAAATGACAAGAGCTGTGACATACTTGCGTGATAGCATATCAAAAAGTCCAACTAGTCTCTGCGATGCATATGCACTCAGACGGTGGACATGAGGCGCCATGTTTGCCAAAGTTGCTAAACATGTTGTATGGAGATACACATCCTATCATATTCAAGGCACAACAGAATGATTTTTTTCCCCTCTATCCTTCCTTCCTCCAATGAAAAAAAGTATAAAATAATAATATAGGAAACCTTTTCTAAGACTGAAAGCACCAATACATGCCAATTGGTACATTATGCAAATAATTACTATTTTCAATAATATGACTATCTAGTTACCATCAACTAATTAAATTAGTTGACAGATGCAAATTCAAAACTAAACATCTACTCTCTCCAGTCCTCAATATAGGCCACCTTTTAGAAGTTTTGTTTGGTCCTTAATAATAAACACCTTATAAAACTTGATAAAGCATTAATGAATTACTGTCAAAAATGGCCACATATCCAATTGGTTCATTTGGGTGGCATGTTTGACTTCAAGATTTAAAGGTAAAATTAAGAATTTATATTAAGGATAATTTGGGATTCCTACAGATTTTTTTTTTTTTTTAAATCAAGACTTTTAACTAATTTTAACCACTTTTCTTAATCCGTGAGA